CATACTACTGTACTACTTACTACGTAGTACTCCGTAGTTGACCAGTACTTCGCACGTCTTTTGGTTAATCGTAGTATTAATACTAATACTAGTACGTAGTACTAATACTAACACTAGACGTAGTACAGTACTAATACTAGTCCGTAGTACTAATACTAATACTAGTACGTAGTACTAATACTAATACTAGTACGTAGTACTAATACTAATCCTAGTACTAGTAGTAGTAGTACAGTAATAACGTTACGTAGTATTAAATACCTTTACCGTATACTTAGCAGACTTCACCATATAACGTTAGCAAATTGTTTGCGTGGTACGTACTGTACTACTACTGTAACGTTAGTACGTACTAAAAGCTTAGTACTTCCAAGTCGTACATATTTTGCTGGGAGAGTGAAGAATATATTTAAATTCGAGCCACAGTATACAAATTCAACGTTTACCGTCCTCGATTAAATTCCCCTGGCCCTTTCATCCAAAAGCGAGGGTCTGATCCGTCCACAACGACGATGAGCTCGACGGCAACTGGAAGCAGCTCGTCCACTGCCGCCACGTCCAAGCACCCGACCGTGGAATGCGATGTCTGCGTTGGCATGACAATGTACACGAGGTTGGTGCGTGGACGATTGTTCTTCTCGACAGCTCAGACGACTATCGTCGTCCTCATTACGTAGTGCCATGCGCGATGCCAACGAGAAACCCATATGCGTCGGATTCAAAAGCACCAAATGCGAGATCGATCAACAGGGCTTTGTCGAGGTACGATATTACAACCAAGCATACAACTTGACTGGAGTTGTAGTTGCTGGAGAAGCGACAACAGGAGGCTGCTGGGTCACCCACACGGTCCAAGTCAGCAACAACTACCATCGACCAAGAAGCTCGCCTTCGCCACATTGAAGCGTTTCTTGCCGCTCTTTCCAACGTACGTGGCGGTAGAATCTTCATCCCGGGCCAACTATCTAGTGCACATCAGAAACCCCAGCCCAAAGTCGACGCCACGGCGCACGATTCCATCTACGCACCAGAAAAAGACTCGTTTCGGTAATGTGATTTTGAATCGAAATATTAATTTATGTATGTTGGGTATATATATATATATTGTTCTACAAAGTATGGAACTATAGTTATGAGCACTTTCCATTCATGTTGGTCATCATCACGATGATGGATGCCCCCCTCCATTCAAACGATATGACGATGATATGATTATAGGTACATGTACTGGGGCCTGACTTTGTACTCGAGCACGCCAACTAGTACGACTAGTACTACTAGTACTTCTACTACTACTGGTGACAAAGATACTGGCCATTTCAAGCACGTTTTGCCTCTGTGTGTCGGGGTCAGCTACTTGCAGCGCTCGAAACCCAGTTTGCCAGCCACGGCAGACGTCGCCAGCAGGTCCGTCCCCGCCCCGTCGCCATTTTCACGACCAGCCGATCTCGCGCTAACGAAAGCCGTCGACCCGGAGGCCACCCCGTACGATATATATATATATATATTCGATCGGCTACACACTAATTGTTGTTTTCGAGCCAACGTGCCTGCATTGTTTGGTGTTTGCATATGTATATATTTTGAATTTTTATTACTTTTTTACTCCAATTTGAAAAAATAAACAATAATCCATAAGGACCGTTCTATTATACTATATATATATACATACGGGGCATGGTGCATATATATATATATATATAGTATAATAGAACGGTCATATATATATATACCCAGAACGTTTGTGCGGATTCACCCAATCCATCGGTCGAGTGTTTTTTTGTACTGAATTTTGTATGGAAGCAACTTTGTACATCCATTGACAGACACTAGCTCAAGACACACCCGAATTCGATGGATTGGCCACTTGAATGCAGTGTTCTGGTTTTTGATTGGTCAATCGATTTGGTTCTGAGTCGATTCGACTTGATATTATATATATATATATATCAGCATGCGATTGAATATTTTTTATGGCTTATTGATGCTAGTAGGGTAAATCTCCTGGGCAAAATGACTGCTGCGTGCAACTTTACCGCCATGGCGATGGTCAAGTATGCAGATCGCCAGGCGACGAACTTCCCCGAGCGCTACACGCAGGTACAACAAAGCCGAATATCTAGTTGCTGGAGTGTATTTATGATTGCTCACATATTAATACTATCTCTGTCCGGAATTGCGTGCTTCAATGCCATATTACGGTTCACTGTATCGGTTTATACCGGTTTGGGAGAAAGTTATAACTTGACCACAGATACACCATACATACACCTGTAATATCCGATATTCATCTCCATGTTCAAATATTAGATTCTAAAAAGTTTACGTGTGATGCAGTGAAAATTCACTATCATTCCGACTTTATTTCCCGAATATCTTTTAGGGTATTCTGAATTAGTAAGCTGCATTCTCACATCGTTAATTGCCTCTTAAAAAATCCCTATTTAAAAGTGAACCACGTGGTTACACAAAGCACCTATCTTGATCGAGCAGCTATATTTATAAAAATCCCTTGAAAATGGCATTGAGGCAAGCAATTCCGGACAGAATTAGTATTTATTTGATTTCTCAACCGGAATATATGTATTCACTGTGACGGTATATATATATAAATATATACTAGTATGTATATATAAATAAATATTTATGTGAACTACTAATGTGGTGTTTGATGCTTGATCTCTAGTCGATGCAGAGGCTGGTAGACAACATGCACGTGCAGTGGGGCAGCATGACGAAATTGGCGATTCGCATTGTAACGTTTGGCGGAAGTAAGAAGGACTCGTGAGATAATTACCACGCTACCCATTGTATTTCTTGGCACGATCGATCGATTATTGTGCTTTTTTCCCCCAAATTTGCCTATTTTGGGGGATTGTTGACATCGCCGACAAATAGAGAAAGTAGAGGATTGGTTTCAAAGAATAAAGGTTGTGATGATTGGCTATAAAGAGTGATTGTTGCAATGCAGCAACAGAATTTCCATCAAATTTCCCAATTCTGCGCCGTTGGCTACAACCTCTCCGCAACATTTGATTGGCTAACAAATACAGTCTGTAATCCGTTGAAAGGACATAGAAAACAGATTAAATATTTAAACCAATCAGCGATAAGCAATTTCAGATTAACCAATAAAATGAGAATGCGAGATTCGATTTGTTGGGGACCGGCCAAAACCAATCAAAAGTGACCAAAGTTAGTAGTACTCCGGAGCACTAGTAGGTTAAAGTCAAACTTCACTTTTACGGTTGCTATTTTGGCACTATCCGGACTTTTTAGAAACTACATCCACGGAATATTTCAATTTTTGCGTGAAAAACTACTATTAATAGTAGCAACCAACCCTTCGGATAGGGCAAAAGTTTCTATTCTCTTACTTCGAAGTACGTAGAATATCCGTAACTTCGTAAGTTCGAATTGTAATAGAAATAAAAACACCGTTGGAGATTCTCTTAGAATGTTATGCCTATCTACCAGGAAGACAGATAATGCAACTTGAAACAATCGTTGAACAATAACAGTACAACATATGCAAATCGATTTGGTTACTTCCATAACTTTATAACCTACACACAACACTTGTAAGCAAAGCGACATACTTTAATTAAGACAACATCTATCTTAAATTGATTGCCAAGTTTTGACCAAGTTTGCTTGACTATTTTCGATTTACTCTTGTATTTCGAAGTCGTACAATTGCAAAACACAATGTGGTGTATTGTATATGTGGTTGTGCAGCATTAAATCAGCTATAGTTTCCAAGTTTCAGAGGTCGAAAATAGTGTATGACGGTGGAAATTTGGAATTTCTCCTCAGCCGCCTTCCTTCCATGCGTCTTAAATTGATTGTTTCGTTAACTTACTGTTAAACGGCCAATTATTACCCTCATTTGCTTTTTGGCCATATCTATATATTGTAAGAAGCTGTAGCACGCATTTTTAAAGCTGATTCTGTACAGGTCTCGTTATGTTTGTTATAATTAAATATATTTACTAGTATGATGAAGCGGGGGCAATAATTGGCCGTTTAACGTTAGTGTACGTTTGTATAAAATATGTCTTTTAATATAATATACATTAACCAGAAAAAGCAAGGTGAAATAGGTAATTTTGTATGCAGCGCAAGGTGAACCACCTTGCGAAATCCATAAATAATTCGGAAATTGTATAGTTTCAATTAAATATATCTTCAAGTTTGTGTTGATGATATTTATTTTTCATATGTCTGTCTCTTTTTGGAATTCGCAAGGCAGGTCACCTTGCGAATTCAAAATTGTCCAATTTTGTCCAATCAGATGCCGCGAAATCACGAAAATCTAGATTCATCACGTCCTGTTGCGATATATTCTACACTTGTGATGGCGGTTGATGCAAGGAGCATTGAGATAACTACGTAGAAGGTGTATGAGAGCAAGGTCATGCGATGTGGTATTCAGGACTCGGTCAATTTGAACAGGTCTACCGGCAGTAACATCACTACCGGTAGACCTGTTCAAATTGACCGAGTCCTGAATACCACATCGCACTTGCCTACTAACCCAATCAATGTGGTCATCCCTCATTCCACCATTCAGTCTGTGCCGGTGCCGTACACCTCCCTGCTGGTGTGATCACGTGGTTGCGCGGGCAGGTGGCGCAAGACGTCGTGGTGGCACCCATCGCAAGTACTGAAGTGGCTAGCACTTGCGATGGGTGCCACCAAGACGTCTGCGCCACCGCGTTGGCCCACCAGAGCCGCCACGGCATTGCGACCCAACCGAGCGCATAACGTAATGTTAGCTGTAATTGGAGAATCACACTGGATATAGTTGGAGTGAACTCATCAGTGCACAATTCTCTGGAGTAGCTCTACAAAATTCAAGCGTCCAAACATTTTAGAATTGTAACCTCTTCTGCCAGTGTTATAGCCAATCATGTGTAAAAAACGAGGTGTGATGGACTCTGATTGGATATTAAAAAGGAGCAAGGTGGCTCACCTTGCGAATTCCACAATAACGTTACATTTCAAGTGATGTTCCATCTATTTCGATTTAAATCGCAGGTAGTGGATAGCGTTTTGAACTCGTCTAATTCATAAATATGAGCCGAAGTGAATCCTCTACAACCTTACATCTTGTAGCTGGAGTTGTTCTTACGGTCTTAAACCGAAAACGTGGGTGGTATGGGACTTAGCGCCTGATGAAGCAGCGTGTTGATTTACTTGATTTGCATCTAAAATCAAAATTAGATGGAACATCATTTGAAATATATTGAACAACGTGTGAAATATACTGGCTGCAATATGTGACGAAATATATCGAATGTTGTGTCGGACGAAATTTACCAGAAATAACCTGAACTTACAGTTAATGGAAAAATGGTGTAGTACTACGTAGTAGGTGGTACGACAACATTCACAATCAACATCTCCGACGCCAGCAAACCTCTATAAACGTATAGTATTCCTTCACCTACATGAACCAGCTTCACCGCAAGTCGCTGAATTTTGAGTTCCTTCCACGCATGTGGGATGAAGTCAAGGCTTAGTCGCGACTCATGCGACAACTGTACGATGGGTTTCAGCGAAGTGATGGATGTCTTGCACCCACCAAATGTCAGTGTATGTTTAGTCGTCGGGACGCTCGGATTGGCCAGCTCGGATCCGCACCGAATCTCGCCTAATATCTGTGCAATTTGAGGTGCTGAAACCTGTTCCTATTTGTAGCGCGTGTACAGTTAGGCTCGAAATCCCTCGGTAACCCTGTTATTTGTCGACCATGTCAAGCAACATAAATCCATCCGCAGCTCGAGCCAACGTCACACTGCTCCAATCTGCTGTGGGCATATGAACAACCATCCGACATCTCCGCCTGGCAAGATGACGCTGCCGCCACGAGCCCCCCATCCTTCGGTGCCAGTGCCCCGCACCGACCACCCATCCCGACGCCACAGTGGCGCCGCATCTAGTACCTCCACCAAGGGAATGTCAACGTATTCACCATCTTCTCGGGAAAGCATTCGCCACCGCCGCAAGATGAACAAGAGAAGGCTTCGCGCAGAGCAAGCCGCTCGCACACAACGACTTAGCAGCGAAGTAGCGGCGTTGCAAGGGGACATCCGCCACCTGCAGATGCACCTGCTGTCCGTTGAAAAGCAAACGTCGTCTGCACCTGCGGTTGCTGTCCCCATAGCTCGTTTCGGCGAAACGTTCAATCATCTCCCCACCGTGGCCGAGTCGATTTCGTTCACACCGCTGGTAGCGACCGTCCAGGACGAGGCGACGGCGGAGGCCCAATTGAGGCACTTTGTGCATCGGTTTCAACACGGGTGGACTCCGGAGGCGTCGGCCGACCTCGACCACATCGTTGATGGCAACGTCGAGGTGGTGGACCACCTAGGAGCTAGTGTCACTACCAGCTATGAGCAAGTTGCTGGCGAGCCAATCACGGGGGTACGGCGCCTCGAGGCCACATGGAGACGTTTCTGCGACACGTTTCATGGCTTTCACATGGGGCTGCAGCAACTCGTGTCGCTCGAGCCGCCGCGGGAATGGCTGCTCTTGATCACGTTGACGTTGCAATTGACGAATGAGACCCTCGCGCTGCACTACCCTCATGTGGTTCAAACGGCAAAGTCCACCGGAGGGGCCAAGGCAATCGAGATCGCAGCCAAGCTGACGGCGTCGCCCCTGCGCCTCGACGTCCAGTGCCACGTGTGGCTGGATGGACATTTCAAGATTGTAAAAGTCCACACCGTCGTGGGGTGGGCGGCGGCTCTGTTGGCATGTCTGGGCGACCCCGATGATGTCGTGTGGGTGCTGACTTCGCCTTGCCCGGTTTACAACTTTCCCCAAGGCGAGTTTTGAACCGATCAAACCAGAACGAAACAAGTGAAGGCGAATGCAAGCGGCGAAAAGAAAAACTAGCTTTGCCGTTGGTGGTCTAACGCGAAGGACCATCCAGGCCGAAGACTGGGGCTGTCATAGATCCACGTTCGAGCGACTCAAGTACTATAATGGCATACTCCCTTGTTGCTCATTCGTGTACCTGATATACATGGTCACGTAGGATGGTAGAAACATCATAGGTACACACACGCCCGAACGAAGGACGATAATGGTAGTGTGCACATACTCCATACTACTAGTAGTTAGTATATTCTATAGTACGTCTAAGTATACCGAAGCTTTTCACATTGCTGGAGCATTCATATCAATCGATATGCAAGTAGTGATGTACGTAGCCTTCAGACCACGTTCTCCCACCTTCGAAAGATGTCGCATCTTGTACGAGCCAGCCTACGTACGTCACAGCAGCAAACTCCACGAAGCAAGCATCAGCACACACGAAAAATACTCCTCCAAACGACACCGTGTGATGCCAAAAGTGCAAGATCTCCATCTTAACCAAGTCGCCACCCCATGGGCTTCTGCCGCAGCAGTACCGAGGTTTGCCTCTTGACCCCTACTAGCATATGTATGGTCTGGAATTTACACTGTTGGTGTCAACGACAACACACAACCAGTCCGTTTTGCTTTGTCTGTTCCTTGGGCTAGCACGGCTCTTGGTTTGATCGGTTCAAAACTCGCCTTGGGGAAAGTTGTAAACCGGGCAAGGCGAAGTCAGCACCCACACGACATCATCGGGGTCGCCCAGACATGCCAACAGAGCCGCCGCCCACCCCACGACGGTGTGGACTTTTACAATCTTGAAATGTCCATCCAGCCACACGTGGCACTGGACGTCGAGGCGCAGGGGCGACGCCGTCAGCTTGGCTGCGATCTCGATTGCCTTGGCCCCTCCGGTGGACTTTGCCGTTTGAACCACATGAGGGTAGTGCAGCGCGAGGGTCTCATTCGTCAATTGCAACGTCAACGTGATCAAGAGCAGCCATTCCCGCGGCGGCTCGAGCGACACGAGTTGCTGCAGCCCCATGTGAAAGCCATGAAACGTGTCGCAGAAACGTCTCCATGTGGCCTCGAGGCGCCGTACCCCCGTGATTGGCTCGCCAGCAACTTGCTCATAGCTGGTAGTGACACTAGCTCCTAGGTGGTCCACCACCTCGACGTTGCCATCAACGATGTGGTCGAGGTCGGCCGACGCCTCCGGAGTCCACCCGTGTTGAAACCGATGCACAAAGTGCCTCAATTGGGCCTCCGCCGTCGCCTCGTCCTGGACGGTCGCTACCAGCGGTGTGAACGAAATCGACTCGGCCACGGTGGGGAGATGATTGAACGTTTCGCCGAAACGAGCTGTGGGGGTAGCAATGGGGAATGCACCCCCCGTCATTGGGGCTGTCGTGTCGATGTCCAAGAGATGTTATTCGAGATTTACGATATCGACTTCCAATGCCGCCACTTCGCTGCTAAGTCGTTGTGTGCGAGCGGCTTGTTTTGCGAGCCACCGACGTTTGTTTATCATGCGGCGGTGGCGAATGATATCCAGCGACGACGGAACCGCATCGCTCGTTGAAAGGTCCGTGGTGTTGGTGCTGGAATTGCGGCGCCGTGGTGGATCTTGAGGACCGGAGTGATTATCGTCATTTGGGGGCTGATCACCTGTTGAAGGGGTGGATATGTGTGAAGGCACCAACGGCCCTCGTGGGGGTGATGGGGGCGGGTTCTTCATAACGAGTGAATCTCGATATGTGAATAGTGTTACGAGGGGCGTACCCCAAACGGCGTGAAGTATTTATGTGCTCAGGGTGGCAAACAAGAACTTGACATGGGTCAAGTTATTATCAGCCTTCCACTAACAGGTAACACTACTTTACAAAGAGGGGGCATGATGAATAACAAAATTCCTAATCTTGTAGGACTGTATCAAGGGTCGTGTTGGACGTATACCAGGTACGCTGTTGTCGTCTGCTCGGCGTTCGCCATTCCTTTCTCAAACGGACGTGAATCGTTTATGTGCTCGACACGGGGCGACGAATAAAGGATGCCTACCGGAAGTGAAGTAACGTGTCACAAATAAGAAAAACGATGATTGAACGAAATCTCAATACTAATGATGAGCAACGTTGGACTAACGCTACCGAATTCATAACATCTTGTGGGTTTATTGTTAATAGGTAAGCAAACGCAACGTGCACCTAGCTGGGCATATGCGAAAACGACACGCCCATAACAATCAACTTGCACCGATGGATGGTCGTCGCCGTCAATGCATTCCAAGCAGCTCGCGGATGTTACCGCGGATAGTCCGTCTGGAACTCGGTCACTGCGTCATAGCGACTCAGTCCTCTTCCCGATCGTAACGAGGTTGCCCGCAAAGTGGGGGGTTGCAGGCGTCAGTCAGGGTGGTAAGGAATTGCGATGCCATGGTACATGGCCATCAGGTTTATCGTTTGTCGGTCGATTTCGACACGGAAGCCAAAGGAATGGCAGGTATGATTCGGCCGTTGGACATATGGAGGGAGAAGACGACAAAGTAATGGTACAGAGGGCGGCTGTCGATCGATGCTGGACCAGGCGAACTTGCTTTGGGGACGTTAAAAAGACAATGCTAGCTAGCCGTGCGGATTTAGAAACTATCTGCTTGTTTGCAGTGTGGCGTGACCAGGTATGTAGTTGAACGGTGTACTCGTACGGACCATGTCCAATTTCATATTCGGGCCCAAAAGTAGTGTGGGTAGTAAATCAGTACACCAACTCCCTGTTGGCCATTCCCGGACTTCAGTGAGCGTGTACTTAGGTGACGGAGTTGTCGATATGGTACAGTACTGTTGACCTAAACCTTCGTACGATGAGCATAGCTGAAAACACAGTGCGCAGGGAGTGATATATAGGTTGTGTTTATCGTAGTTTGGCAGGATGGCTCAATAGACAAATGGGTACAGGGGGACGTCAACCATCCAGTTTTGGGCAGCCCTACCCCTGTCGTGATTGGATGAAACGACGACCTGTCGGTTGTAGGGACCATATACTACGTAGTATCATACAATGTATCATGATCATATCATTTTCGTGTGACTTGGCACAAAGGCAATTTGGTCGTGACTTGGAGACTACCGTACACTGTAAGTTTCACTTGTGCGTAGCTACTGTACCGTACAGTAACTAAGACTACCAGAGTACTGTACTGGTACTGTACACGCACTGTACAACGACGTAGTAGTCTACTTTCTACTTTGAGCCTCTCGTACATACTGCAATTGACACCAATGTCTTGATATAGATAAGTACACAGACAGTACTGTGTTAGAACTCTTAAAGTCCACAACAACTGGCCCGGTAGCAACCCTTTCACAACCATTTGTGTTTAATCCCGCTCGTTGTTCTGAAAACTACTGTAAATGGTTTGAATGGACACGGTCAATTTGATGTCATTCGACCCAGCGATGCCCTGTCACATGTTCGTCAATGAACGTCGCAGTGGCGGAAACGCGGGTAAATACATCTGGGACACCGTCGGCGCACTTGACGCCAAAGCTCACGATTCCCACCAACACAATCTGCGACAGGGATAAGTTCGTGTCGAGATATGGATGGGCCACCAAGGGCCCTCCGGAGTCGCCATAACAGGTGCCAGTGCCAGTTACGCCACCAGCGCACAAGTGCGAGGCGGTAGCATTCCATGTCGTGTACACAGAGTCGTTGGATGCTGTGCGGATGCGGCGTTGGCATGCAGCATTCGCGATGGTCGTGAGGTTGGCCTGAAGCAGGTGGTACGACGACGGTTCGGACAAGGAGCACTGGCCCCACCCGAAGGTCACGGTGGTTGTGTTGGGGTGCACCCACTGCTTGCTTAGAGCCACGGGTCGCTTGGTGGAAGGAGCGTCAAGTTTGAGGATGGCTAGGTCTGAGCCCAATGGTGCACTTGCAAAATTCGGCATCGTCCACATGGACGAGACTGTCCGGACGTCGGCGTCTGTGCCGTCGATGGACGAAGTACCGATGGAGACATAGAGCACCGCGGGTGCGGCATGGCGGAATGTGACGCAATGCGCGGCTGTGACGACGTACTGTGGAGCTACGAGCGCTCCCCCGCAGTATGAGCTCTCGTTCGCACTGAATCGGAGGCCTGCCATCCATGGCGTGTTGCCTGTCGCCGCCGCTGTCCCGCCGTAGATCCGCTTATGCACGACCACCCTCTGACTGGACAGACGAGGGTGGACATGCACGGAAGCATCCTCGGCGAATGCTCCGACATTAAACGAGACGAGCGCTATGGCAAGAACAAGCGTCGTCCATGGCAACCAGCGTGGCGTCATGGCGGCAGACGATTGCAATTGTGGGACTGGAACCTGCTTAACAGAAAGTGAACATAATGTGCTAAATTGTTTGACAACGTTTTGTCGATATATGATTGGACAGTAAGATCTCATCGCCTTCTGATTGGATATAATGTATTCCCATATGGGCGTGTAGTACATATCTACTGTATCACACACACCATACACCTCGAAAGGTGAAATTGAATGCTTGATGCAGGCTTCATCCTGTTAGGCAAGAAGCAGCACGTGCAGCTGAGCGATGGAGAATGCTTCGCAATAGACATGTCATATACTGTACAGTGTGTGTGACAGTGTGTGAGGCCATGACTCCCTGATGCCAACGATGGACACTCGGAAAGTGTGAAACCAGGTTTTGCAATCGACAGTTTTGAAACCAAACGTCGACATCTTCAGCATCCGTGTTGTTATTACACGTGGGGAATCCATTTGTAGGACTTATCCTCGACCGTTCTACATAGCTTATGTCATACAAAAGACAAGACGCCAAACTTGGCAGCTTCAAATAATCACACAAGATATATCTATATATAGGGTATGATGGACATCGTCCAATCACGAATCGTTCCCATTGGTCAATCTGCAAGTGCTTGTCGCTGATTGGCTACATTATTTTTCTTTTTACTCACTCATATGCGTGCTTAGTTTATCGAATGGCGCCGAATCGGTGGAATTTGAAGGAAATTCATGGTATGAATCCATGGATTCATATACAAATTTCCATTACTTTCTTTAGCACTTCCAGAGATAGTACTATTTGTGTTGATAGGATTGATATGTAAATTTGCACGGCCAAAGTACTTTCAGGGAGTACTATTTGCGTTGATTTACGCGATAACTCCAATGTATTTGATTTTTCAACCAGCAAGAGTTTTATCGTATCAACGGTTCTACATTGATCATGTGGGTACTACAGTCCACCCACGATGCTGTCCAATTGATCGCTTAGTGCATACCTCGACCTCCTAACGCCCATCAAACATCCACACCAAAATATATATTATATATTTCCAAAATACCTGATTTTTTGCTGCGGAAATGATACCCCAGCCGTCGACCCAGGCTGGTAAAAGTATACGTTTTGCACCAATCGTTCAACCCCCATATACACATGCGACGGGGTGTTGATGGTTGCGATCGTCTCAAATAGTTTCTCTTCGGTCAACACCTACAACATGTATGCATGACATTTGTATCTCCAAACGATGATATATATATATTTATATATGTAGAAAACAACTGAAATACTATATAATATGTGGTACCTCTAGCCACAACGCATGGTACTGGTAGTGTCGCTGAAGCATGGGCAGTGCGACTTCGAGGTCGTGTTCCATCAACGTCGGGCCCAGCAAAGTCAGGATGGCCAGTGCCGTGCGAAATAGTAATAACACCCCGTCCAATAAAAAGTTATCAAACACCTAATAAGTCAACAACATACAACCGTCACAAATAGATATATATATTTGTGTTAAAAGTTATCAAAGTCCTAATAAGTCACCATACCCCGTCGCAATCATATATATCATATATACAGTACATATGTATGGATGCTATACTCCACACGTGAAGAACCACTGTGCTTGTGGCGGTTGGTTGCCCATGCCTCACTGATCAAAGATAAAAAACAATACATAAAAATAGTCGATTGATCAATATATATATATATAAATATGTAGATATATCAAGAGGTACGGTACCCGAGACGCCACTTCCAACGGCAACACTTGCAAATATAACGTTTGGAGCCAATTCATGAGAAACATGCTGGACGGAATGCCCAGCTGCATCAAATGCGTTTGCAGGCGGGGCAACTCCATTTCGAAGTACACGTCAAACCACATGTAGTAGTCGTCTACATATCCACATATATTAGAAGGGGATCGCCCTAACCATTGATAATTGAAACTACATATATATATATTTCTAAACATGAAACTATATATATATAAATATTTCTAAACATGAAACTATATATATATATATTTCTAAACATGAAACTATATATATATATATATTTCTAAACATGAAACTATATATATATATATATATTATCATTACGACAGTGGGTTGGATTCAAATGGAAACGTACTGGCCAGATCCACATCCAGCAAGTAAAACGTAAACAAATGCTCATGCACCATCACGTTGGCCAAGCACTGAAACGTCAAATATCTATATCACATTATCCGTCAATATTGTGAAATATATATATATATATAAATGTACCGATCCGTGGGGATGTGCAAACACAAGAGGGCAGCAATGTACGACATGCCTTGAATGTACCCCAAGTCGGGTCGATAACACGCATACGTTTCGAGTACTTCGCGGAGGTAATCAAAATATGGCCCTATTTATCATATACAAATATATACACATTATATATATATTGTTTCGCCTACTATTTTTTCACTGTAATGTGAAATATAACCCACCGCTCGTGTCAAATAGCTTTAGCGTTGGAAACGTTCGCGGTAAGTCTGTGTGAATCAACTTAACTGTGTGCTCGCGGCCGTCCAACGGTACTTGGACGTTGCCAAGGCCTACAAATAGAGTTTTATTGGTTCATCCTGTACTTAAGAATGTCCGAGCCAATCAAAGTGCACTAACGACAAATTTCAACCAATCATCGACTAGTGTACGTTGGCCCAATGATTTGGTCCAGTCAAAATGTTCAGCTTCAAATGAGTATACCATACAATGAATATGATTAATTTTCGAACCAGCTGCCAAGTCCAAATTTCAGCAAAAAAGGACATACAAGTGATTCGAATATATATATTTCAAATCCAGGTCAATCGAATATATATTTGTGAAGCTTTGTCTCTCCAGAGTAAAAATCGAATATATATATATATACTACTACATACGGGCTTGACTGGCGCGTTGGCGGTACAAGTGGTACATCGCAGGGGTAATTTTAAGAGAATTGCCAATCGCCAGTGGCCACACCTGCACATATACACATATGTTCGTTTTAGACTTTATAGAATCGAAATAGAATATTAAACTATTACTCTTAACGACAACATCATGATATATATATGTACCTTGGAGCGTAAAGAAGGTGGAATGCCTTGTCGCCATAACGTTTGCGCCAACGGCGAATCTCTCGATGCGTCCCAATTCTTCAAGATCCGAGTGCGCCAGAGCTACAAAAAACAAAAATACCACAATATATTCTTTTAGACACAATCGTACGAATATATTAATATATATGGTATATATTTATATATTTATATATCACGCTAACGTACCCGCTTCGTTCGACGCAAATCCTCTTCCTTTTGCAAACTTCCCGTCGACTGTGCCCCCATTCTCGACTCAACGTGAGACCCCGTGGCACTTACATAGGTAACAGCAGTTATGATGTGTCAATGATTTATATATATATATGATGTAAAGATATTAGTTGGTATATCGCTTTCGTGTTAATATATATATATATATATATATCGTACCGTTCCAGCACCATCGTAAACTTGTGCCCACACACCACGACCAACTCGTGCCCGCGGTCAAAGCAGTCCAATCGCTAATATATTAATTCACATAATAGTTGATTCCATCGATATTTCGTATACACAAAACAACAAATCACATTGTGGCTTCTCGTGGGTTCACAATTTTAGCGTCATGAATCGATGGTATTGGCGAATCCAATTTGAAGTGAATCGGATTGGCTATAATAGACGACTATATTCAGCCAATCAAACGTTCCAGCGTGATTCAACATAGTAGAAAGCGATTTATCACGATTTATAGTATATATTTACAAGATATCAACCTGTCAAAAGGCGACCAGAACTAACCAGCCTCCATATGTAGTCTTCGTGTATAATTACAATCTAGTACCTCGGGGGCATCTTTGTTGGTTGTATGACCCAGTCCACACGCGCCATACACGTTTAGTCCCCACGTAAGCTACATCCAAGAGTCATTCATCATGTCAAACACACTCACAAATGTCAACTATATTATATTGGTTGAAATAATATTTTTAAATATATATATATATATATATTACCAGCACATTGTGTTGCGTGGTCGCGACCGAATGGAAGGCCCCGCAGTACACGTGCAGCACTCGATCCATCGCCAAGCAAGTCGACACGTCGACCAGTTGGGGCACTGGCTAAACCATGAAATAGCGTTAGAATTTCAAACATATAATTTTTGAAATACGATATTTATATATTTTGTTTAAAATTTCCTAAAAAAGTAGATACAATTCCAAACGATGAAACCAAACCTAACATAGAAAGTGACGTGGATGGCTTCTATTGCATAAGTCAAGATATATATACCATATACGGGTGAAATACAGCATCCCCACGCATTTACATATACAGTAACCCCGAAACAACATTAGTAAATGCACTCTATACATTATTCCATTCTGAACGCAACTCTTTCGACCTAATGTGGAATCGATACAGGACGGACT